TGCAGATGCATCTTTTATTTTTCGTTCTGAAATAGTTTATAATGAGTTTCAGTAGTATAGGAAAGTGCTCAAAAGTGTTTTAAAGTATGATAGTCTCCAAAACAACCTATCACACAAAGTCCAACATCACAAATATCACACTGATAACGTGTCTTTTTAGGCTTCTTCTCACGTCTACTTGTGCGACTGCAAACTATACAGTCTCTTTGTGGACTTTCTTGTGTTGCTGTTGCTGGAACAAGCGATGGGAAATGACGGCCAGTAAGACGTACGGGATTATCACTGGTGATAGGACGACCACCTATAGGTCTCGGTTGAGAATACCTTTCGATCAATTGTCGAATAAGTTCGCTTCGAAAATCACCAAAATGAATAGACTTTTTATGCTTCATTTTGAATAACATATATGCGTTGAATGTTGATAAATCCAACAGATGAAAGAAGAATTTTTTATACCATTACAGAAGAAGATTACAGAAAGATACAGTAGTTCTTTTAATAAAGTCTAAATGACATTATATTGAAGACAATACCTACAAAAGTTCAATGCCTATATATAGGTCACCCGTAATCAAAGGGTTAATGAAATATCATCTTGAAACCCTCAAACATGCTCACTCTTACCTGTATCGTAAAAGACCGATAATATGTTTAGACGATGGATTTTCAAAACAATCAATCAAATATCGATTGGAATTAAAAAGAGTGATGTTTGTCGATTTTGAATGATGTTAAAGTTAGCTGAATTCAAAGATATAAAAACAATAATATTATATTGTCAAAAACATACAGAATGGAACTGAAAATAAATATGATGAACAATGATTTATATGTATATATTGCTTATATATTAATTCTGTTTTTGCACATGATGGTTTATGCTACTTTTCATTGTTTTGTATTTATTCAACAGAACACTTTCTTTCTGACGTTCTAAGCCGATGATATTGTTGAGCTCTTTCCACTAGACTAAACTGTTTAGTTAATGTTGATCAGATTTACAATCACATTGCGTGTTGTTACTATATATCAAAAAGGTCCAGTTGTGGAAAATTTTGTTACAGCTATCAATTACTATAATTCAGCAATCGACAAAGCTAATGACAATGAACAATTATTTATAAGCAAGTATTACGATATCTATGAACAACTTTATAATATATGTCAATGGAAGAGTGAAATAAGTGATAAAGATAAAGAGAAAAACAACAGATTAGTACTGAAATATTTAAACGAAAACCTTCGCCTAATATCGAAATATCCTTCATCAGATGGTCCAGATATTGGTGTTGGTTTTGTTAGAATAGCCGAAATTCACTAGTTATGTGAATATAATAATGCATTAACAAACGATGAAAAAACATTAGATATTCTTCAAAAATAACCACAATTAGATCCTTAAAGTACTCCTCACGTTTATTG